GAATCAGAAAGAGACAGTTGAAATTACTGGGACATATCCGTGTCCTGGGTATGACGATAAACTACGTCCGCGTCCTGGGTAAGACGATAAACTACATCCACGTCTTGGGTAAGACGATAAACTACATCCACGTCCTGAGTAAGAAGATAAACTACATCTGCGTCCTGGGTAAGATGATAAGCCACATCCGCGACCTGGGTAAGAGAATAAACTACGTCCGCGTACTGAGTAAGACGATAAACTCATCCGCGTCATAGGTAAGACGATAAACTACATCTGCGTCCTGAGTAAGACGATAAACTACGTCCGCGTCTTGGGTAAGACGATAAATTACATCCGCAACCTGGGTAAGAGAATAAACTACGTCCGCGTCCTAGGTAAAACGATAAACTATATCCAACAGCAAGGCCTCTCATCAGGAGGTTTTGACGAGCCTCAAATAACCTCTTAATTACTGGTGTTCCCAGGTTCACCCTGATCCGGCGTGGTAGCACCGGTTATGATTCGAGCTATGGCAAAAAATGCCCCCTAAAACTGCGGTCAAAAAGCGTAAAAATAGGTTTTAATTACAGCAATACATTTTTTGTAAAAGGTTCATACCAGCAGTGAATTTTTGAAGAAAAAATTATTACCAGCAATACATTTTTGAAGAAACAAAATATTACCAGCAATATATTTTTGGAAAAAAATATTAGTAGCAATACATTTTTGAAAGAAAATTACTATCAACAAAAATCTTGTCAGCATTAAATAACCCATTGAGGTTGATATGCCTTAAAACAAACGAAACTAAACCAAACTGGCTCATATATTGAGAAATGAGGCCTTGGAGAATTTGACACTCACAGGACATATTGAAAACAAAAGGGGCAGGTTGGGGTAACATTTCAACTAACTAATGAGCAAGTGGGATGGTACAAAGACAAACATTACCAAAATTTACAGAAGATCAGAATCAATGATCACCCATGACTTGAAGTGACACGACACATAGGATAAAACGAATAAGTGATTAAAACTAAAGGAAGCCGATACAATTTTTAAATATCAAGACCATACTTAAGAATAAAAAATTCAGAGGCAAATATATATGTAATGGTCATGCCCATAATATCGGGAGCACTGTAAACAGTTTCAAAGATACTTGAAACATTATTAAATGAACTGGAAATCTACAGGAGAATTGGAAGAATTCTGACCAAGTCACGGCGAATATATTTAGGCGAGAGCTGAATATTTGAAACGACTTTTTGATTCCCAACTATTATAATGAAATATTTCGTGTGGGGATATCAATAAAAACATTACGTTGCAGAAAAGCAGCAAGGATCAGACTGAAAAAGAAAATGAATTCGCTTCGCGGAAAACGGAAGCAAAGCCTAAAATATTTCTATGGGATTTACAAATTGCAAAAACTCACACCCAGTAGTTCAGAAATCAAAAGCCAGTCATCATAAACAAAGAAAAGAAGGGATGAGGTTGAAATAATAGACAGAGAGCATCACTGGAAAATACGAAAACTTAAGGAATCAGCACATATGCTAGGCCACAAAAATCTCTTGAGCCGACCAAGCATAGAAATGAATATAATATGGGAACCAGTAATAAGGAGTGCTAGAGAAAAGCAATGAATAACAACAAGAACTGCAATATAAGCTCTGGTAAAAAATGTGATAATAATAAAAAAATAAAATTGCAATATGAGCACTGGTAAAAAAATAATTGCTGAGATATTAATTTTATAAATCTCAAAAATACTTACCCAAAGAGTTGTGAGTTCAATACCAGGCTACAGCAGTGGTGAATCAAACTTGGAGAGTTGAGTTAAAGGGAAATAACTGAGACATCCGGAAGAGGCACGGCACATGGAACTAGAACAATCTACCGCGGTCGACGAAAGAAAGGGATCGGTTTGAAATTCCAATCACCTGGAGAAGGCCGGAGCGTACAACGGCCGAAACGTTGTGAACATCGCAGTGAAGATGGGGATAACAGTCCAAATAATGTAAATAATGTAAGTAAAGAAAAGAAGATCTTCTAGCGGATTTTTGCTGTTTCGGCGAACGACAAAATTGAAATAAATAAACTATAGGAACCTAGATCTTGAGAAGGATCTTAAAAGCCGTGGTGACAATTGCAGCTATCATTATCGGAGCCCTTGGAATACAGTCCCAAATTAGCTTTTCAGAAAGACTTGAAGAATTAATAATAGTATCAAGAATACAAAATAAACAACAAAAACTCCTAAGCAATTGTAAGAATTTTCGTTGGTCTTAAAAATGAATAATTGATGCCCAAATACACCCAATATATCGAGAGCTGAAGCGTCAGACCGTATGATTTGATTATAGGGTGAAACTAGTGACCAGGCATTTGGGGACAACTGATAACAATCAAATGGTGCACAGAATGCAACAGAGTCTACAGACAGCCGCCGGTTTCCTTCTCCTAGATTAATTGCTGACCAAAGCTAGGAAAACCAGTATACTCTGCTATTTAGCACTTAACTTGGGAGAGAAATTGATTCAATAACTTTCCCAAGGGTATTTGTGTAAAAATGAACTCAACATCATCAGCCAGAATTTGATCACGACAAACGAATCAGCGCTAATAACTTTTATGCTACACACACATCCGTGTATACAGGATGTCCTCCCTTAAAAAGGTTGACACTTTTTGACTACCTAGAGATTCTTGATTTTTCTGCTTTTTTCAGATGCACGGATATAATTACTTTAATATTTAACTTAAACAGTTAATTGTTTGTAAGTCAATAAACATTAATTTTCTGTTTGCTAATTCTTTCACGTCCAATAACCCCTGATGATTTAGTGTCTCTCTGCCTTGAGTGGTGTAAATTCGATAATTATATATATATATATATATATATATATATATATATATATATGATTCATTATTTAAGCATACACGCAAATACATATATACGCATTTCATTCTATCGTTTTCGTATCTGATGAAAAGTTAAATGGCGAAATGTATTATCAACTCTATTTTAAAACTAACCTATTTTCATAAAACGTTTAAAATTGTCAAAATTTAAAAACTTTATAGGGATTTCTATATCCTAATTTTAAACACACACACACACACACACACACACACACACACACACATATATATATATATATATATATATATATATATCTATATTGAGGAAATTGTAAGACAAGGTTTACTTGCCTGTGACTCACTTGATCAGTTAGGACCTCGTCGAATTGGTTTTGTTGATTTTGTTGTGACTAAACACGTGCATGAACGAAATACGTTAACATAACTCAACAAGCCTACTCTGATGATGTCCTAACACATGAAACGCGTCACAATTATTTTTTTCTGTTTAATCTTTCTAGATATATAAAAAATATATCGTTATCTCATATATTCTCTCTCTCTCTCTCTCTCTCTCTCTATATATATATATATATATATATATATATATATATATATATATATATATATATATATATATATAAAAGAACCAATTCACACAAAAGAATTAAATAGCAATGTTAATGTGATTAATTTCGAAATCACTTTGCTAACAGAACTTAATGAGACATTAACTTAATATCAATTTGCGCTACACATCGTTCGTCTTAGTATTTGCTTATGTATAAGAAAATTGTGCCCTGAAGATGAAATTATCGAGAGTGCTTGGCACGTATCTTACAACAGACAAAAACTCGAATAAATGGATCTTATTATTCAATTGATATTAAGTTAATATCTCATTAAGTTCTGTTAGCAAAGTGATTTTGACATTAATCACATTAACGTTGCTATTTAATTTTTGTATAAATTGTTTCTTTATTATATAAAATATAAGCTGCACACTCTTATATATATATATATATATATATATATATATATATATATATATATATATATATATATATATATGTGTGTGTGTGTGTGTGTGTGTGTGTGTTTTATATGTAATACTTTTCACAAGGAACACCGATACAACATTGATCCTCGGCAGAGCCCACAGACACTTTCATATTATGTAGAAGCACCAATCCTTATATAAATAATTCCATCATTTAGGAAGGGTAACAATAATAATAATAATAATAATAATAATAATAATAATAATAATATTAATAATAATAATGTCATCTCTATAAATATCAATACTTAGCTGCCTCCAGTCAGTAATGGCAAAAATAACAATCAGCCATAGCAAAAAAAAAAAAAAAGAACGCCGATAGTGGGACAAAAGAGAAACTGGTGTATTTCAGCGACTACTTTTATAAATAATAATAATAATAATAATAATAATAATAATAATAATAATAATAGTATTAGTAGTGACGAACATCAAAGGCTGGCATTAAATAATCAGCCAACCATCTCAACCAGTAACCAACTAACCATCAAAAGAAAGAAACAAACATGTCTTCGATTGTTTGTCTTGAAGCAGCCGTTCTTACCGCATCCCCCCTTCTTTCAGGCCCCAGAAACATAGCTTTCATTCACCTACCCAGACCTCGCCTTTCGAGACAGGATTATTTTCGGGCTGTATATTTAGAGATGGGCGTATTGTTATGTTGGTTTGGAGAAGGCGATAGCCATGGACGGGGGAGTGGTCTGTTGTGGTCACTATTGACCACACACTTGTAGAGAGCCGACCAAGCAGATCTCACACTTGGCCGCACACCAATTCAATAAAGCAAGTTTTGCACACAGGGACCCCGTTATCTTTTAGTTCTAATAGAGAACGTAGAATGTAATGTGGGGGGGGGATGAAAGGAAGAAATTATAACAGATGAAGAACAGTTGGAAAGAGGCGAAGAAAAGGTAGATGCGGAAGTAAGAGTAAAGAAGAACGAATTGAAGAAGAGGAAAAAAAGTGTGAAAAAAATAAAGGGTGAGAGAGAAAGAGAAAGAGAGAGGGGGAAAGGGAATAGTGATATAAACAAAAAGATAAGAGAAAAGTGTGGAAAAAGAAAGGGTATAGAATAAACAAAGGGAGATAACTAGAAAGGTAAAAGTATAAAATAAATAAGAGAGACGTGGAGAAAAAATTGTTGGTAAGGAAAGGCTATGGAAGGGAGATATAGAGATAAAGTAGAGGAACTAAAGAAAGAAATGGTATTAAATAAAAGGAGAGAGGGAAAAACTTGAGGGACAAAGAGAGGGCAGAAAATAAATGGAGATAGAGAGAAAGTTAGGGGTATAAAGAAAACGTATGAATTAAAGGGAAATAGGTTGAGAACTGCGAGAAAAAGAAAGGATATAAAATAAGCAAAGAGGGAAATTGAGAGAAAAATGTTGGAATAATGAAAGAATATGAAATAAAAGGGGATAGGAAAAAAAAGGAGGTTATGTAATAAACAAAAAACGATAGAGGAAAGTTTGTAAGAATAAAGAAAAAGATATGAAAGGAGTGGGAGGCAGGGTAAAACCTGGGAAGATATAAAGAAAAAGTGGGAAATAATAAAAAGGGAGATATAGAGAAAAGTAGAGGAATAAAGAAAAGCTATGACATAGATGGAGATAGGGAGAAACGTGGGGAAGAAAGAAAAGGTATGAAATAAAAAAGGGAGATATGGAGAAAGGTGGAGGAATAAAGAAAAATGACATAGATGGAATAGGGAGAAACGTGGGAAGAAAGAAAATGAAAAAAAAAAGGAGATATGGAGAAAGGTGGAGGAATAAAGAAAAGCCATGACATAGATGGAGATAGGGAGAACGTGGGGAAGAAAGAAAAGGTATGAAATAAAAAAAGGGAGATATGGGAAAGGTGGAGGAATAAAGAAAAGCCATGACATAGATGGAGAAGGGAGGTGGGGAAGAAAGAAAAGGGAAATAAAAAAGGGAGATATGGAGAAAGGTGGAGGAATAAAGAAAAGCCATGACATAGATGGAGATAGGGAGAAACGTGGGGAAGAAAGAAAAGGTATGAAATAAAAAAGGAGATATGGAGAAAGGTGGAGGAATAAAGAAAAGCCATGACATATGGAGATAGGGATGGAAAAGTATGAAATAAAATGGGAGATATGGAGAAAGGTGGGGAAGAAAGAAAAATGACATAGATGGAATGGGGAGAAACGTGGGAAGAAAAAAAATTATGAAATAAAAAAAAGGGAGATATGGAGAAAGGTGGAGGAATAAAGAAAAGCCATGATGACATAGATGAAATAAAAAAAGGAGATATGGAGAAAGGTGGAGGAATAAAGAAAGCCATGGGGAAGAAGGGAAAGGCGAAGAAAAAAAGAAAGTGTAAATTAAAAAAGGAGATATGGAGAAAGGTGGAGGAATAAAGAAAAGCTATGACATAGATGGAGATAGGGAGAAACGTGGGGAAGAAAGAAAAGGTATGAAATAAAAAAAGGGAGATATGGAGAAAGGTGGAGGAATAAAGAAAAAGCCATGACAAGATGGAGAAAGAAACGTGGGGAATGAAAATAGAAATGGAGATAGAAAAGCCATGACATAGATGGAGATAGGGAGAAACGTGGGGAAGAAAGAAAAGGTATGAAATAAAAAAAGGAGATATGGAGAAAGGTGGAGGAATAAAGAAAAGCCATGACATAGATGGAGATAGGGAGAAACGTGGGGAAGAAAGAAAAGGTATGAAATAAAAAAGGAGATATGGAGAAAGGTGGAGGAATAAAGAGAAGCCATGACATAGATGGAGATAAGGAGAAACGTGGGAAGAAAGAAAAGGTATGAAACAAAAAAAAAGGGAGATATGGAGAAAGGTGGAAGGAATAAAGAAAAGCCATGACATAGATGGAGATAGGGAGAAACGTGGGGAAGAAAGAAAAGGTATGAAATAAAAAAGGGAGATATGGAGAAAGGTGGAGGAATAAAGAAAAGCCATGACATAGATGGAGATAGGGAGAAACGTGGGGAAGAAAGAAAAGGTATGAAATAAAAAAAGGAGATATGGAGAAAGGTGGAGGAATAAAGAAAAAGCCATGACATAGATGGAGATAGGGAGAAACGTGGGGAAAAAAAGAAAAAAGTATATGAAAAAAAAAAGGAGATATGGAGAAAGGTGGAGGAAAAAAAGAAAAGCCATGACATAGATGGAGATAGGGAGAAACGTGGGGAAGAAAGAAAAGGTATGAAATAAAAAAGGGAGATATGGAGAAAGGTGGAGGAATAAAGAAAAGCCATGACATAGATGGAGATAGGGAGAAACGTGGGGAAGAAAGAAAAGGTATGAAATAAAAAAGGAGAATGGAGAAAGGTGGAGGGAAAAGATAGATGGAGATAGGGAGAAATGGGGGAAGAAAGAAAATAAAAAAAAGGTGAAAGGTGGAGGGAATAAAGAAAAGCCATGACATAGATGGAGATAGGGAGAAACGTGGGGAAGAAAGAAAAGGTATGAAATAAAAAAAGGAGATATGGAGAAAGGTGGAGGAATAAAGAAAAGCCATGACATAGATGGAGATAGGGAGAAACGTGGGGAAGAAAGAAAAGGTATGAAATAAAAAAGGGAGATATGGAGAAAGGTGGAGGAATAAAGAAAAGCCATGACATAGATGGAGATAGGGAGAAACGGGGAAGAAATGACATAGAAATGGAGATGGAGAAAGGTGGAGGAGAAACATGACATAGATGGAGAAGAAAGAAAAGGTATGAAAAAAAAAGGGAGATATGGAGAAAGGTGGAGGAATAAAGAAAAGCCATGACATAGATGGAGATAGGGAGAAACGTGGGGGAAAAAGAAAAAGGTATGAAATAAAAAAGGAGATATGGAGAAAGGTGGAGGAAAAAGAAAAAGCCAGACATAGATGGAGATGGGGAGAAATGGGGAAGAAAGAAAAGGTATAAAATAAAAAAGGGAGATATGGAGAAAGGTGGAGGAATAAAGAGAAGCCATGACATAGATGGAGATAGGGGGAAACGCGAAGAAAAAAGAAAGTGTATGAATTAAAAAAGGAGATATGGAGAAAGGTGGAGGAATAAAGAAAAGCTATGATATAAAGGCAGTTGGGAGAAACGTGGGGAAAAAAAGGGTATGAAATAAAAAAAGGGATATAGAAAGGTGGAGGAATAGAGAAAGGCTATGACATAGAGGGAGATAGCGGGAAAAGTGCGAGAAAAGAAAAGGTATGAAATAAAAAAAGGAAGATAGAGAGGAAGGTGGAGAAATAGAAAAAAAGAACTATGACATAGAGGGTGAAAGGTGGCGAAATAAAGAAAATATCTGAAATAAAGGGAGATGGGGTGATACCTAGGGAAAAAATTGATTGAGAATAAGCAGCGTGATGGAAAATAAGTGTCACTGAGTGCGGAACAATGTCACTACAACAGCAGTATCTGTAGTATTAATGTAAGTCTATCTTGCAAAATAATTTTCCACAACGAGGTCTAGTAAGTTTTTTTTTTAAATATAAATAACAACACGGTGTTTCACAACTTGAGAGAAAACTATGATAGAAACTAGATTATTATTGAATTTGCTCCCTCGTAGATTATGTGAATTTTTATATACCATGTTACAAGAAGCGCTTCTTTTACAGTTAAGTATATGATTCATACACAGGTAAGTAAATATGTAAATAGTGGATAGTAATCTTTAAGATGTAATACTCATCTTTAAAAATAGATTTTTTCCTGTTCATCCTAAATTATGACCCACAATATTATGATTCTGTTGCAAATTAGCTTAATTCTTTATTCCATTTCAAATTCAATAACTCTGCGTATATCGCTCTATTTTCACTACTTCGAGATTATACCTATATTTTGATAGACAGAGTCTGTAGCCATAACAACGCCAATATGAACTCTAAAAGTGACCTGTAACTTTGCAGGCTTTAAATATTTTTAGCGTTATGAACATTTTTGAAATAGCGTCATCATAAGTGAATAATAACATGGCGATAAGACTTGAGATTTCCTGGAATGGAAAAAATCATAAAAGGCTGAACAAACGGCTGTAATTTAGTAATCTTCAACCAGATTTTAATGTCACTTGTTTGATTTTTTTTCCTGTTTTAGGGAACCGGAGGCTTCAAAATATAGAGCAAGTAAACGCCATTTTGGCTCTGTGTAATTAGAATCAAATAACCTTTTAGTTTTAGTAGTCGATATGTGAATTCCTTGCATTATTAATATTGTTGCTAATATATTGAAAGCAAAAATCAAGTTCATGGATTTTTCTTCAAGTCTTTTAGAAAGTTTATAGACGTATTTGGATGATTTGGGCTGAGAATAAAGTATTTAACTTGAGTGACTTTCATTCATAACTTTATTCTTTTTTTTAATTATTTTGACTTGTTCCTCTCTCAATCCTTTCCTCTTACTATCCATCTTCGGTCTTCTAATTACATCAGACAGAATTCTAATCTCACTAAGTAGAGATGTTGATTTGTTCTGGGGAAGATTAATTTTACATGTCTGTTGTGACCTTTCCTTTTTCTCGATCCTCTCATTCCATTTGTGGGAAAGCCATGCATCGAGTCAGGTCAGATCATGGTTGAAGCACGCCGACAACTTTCGGTAGCTGAAAAATGTACGGTAACATTTTCAAATAGCATGCTGCTGACACTCAAGTTTCTGTGTAAGGGTTACCAGAATAGACCCAGAAAACGTTGTAATTACAAATTATACTCGCAAGAAAGAAATCTACTAAACGCTATATTCATTTCGCTTGCTCGTATATAAAAGCTATCTTTAAAAATTCGAGGATTTTGAATATAAACTTAACTTAACCACTACGTTCTACGAAATAGTAATTTGTGTTTTCGGTTTACACACTAATGTTTATGAAATTGATACACAGGGTTACGAGATCCTTGTTGAAGAAAAAGCAGATCACTATTTTTTCACCCAGATGGTTTATTCGTACGCAAATAAGTACAGAAGTCCTATCATTTATTAAATTAAAAAATATGGCGGATGAAGACGCGATATTTGAAAGAAGGGAGAAACTGATAGAGCATAAAAACATAATATTAATACAATTATCAAGAAACTCTTTGATTGCGACTTCTAACGTTTTGTGACGTATGGTGGCCATTAAGTATAACTCCAGACTTCAACGTTAAGATAAAACAGTATTTAATTAAAACCGCAAATAAATACTTAACAAGAACAAAGAAGTAAAAATCAACAAAAGATAATTAAACATTTCAGTGAATATTTTGTTAGTAGCGCAGCTCAGCTTAACGTCCGGTAAATCGTAAATGAAAACACAAATCATAGACGCACAATAATTCACACGAATTCGACCGGATAGTTCCTATCAATAGTGGCACAAAAATTACTGCAGTCAGTAGCACAGCTATCACAGTGGAAAACGTATATTCATAAGTCCAGAGTGTCAGGCTCGAACCTTGATGTCGCTAGTCAGTCATTTTCTTCCTATATATATATATATATATATATATATATATATATGTAAAATGAGAACAAATGGAGTATGATTCCATTGGTGTTAACATTTATGGTGTTGAAACATAATTAATATCCTAATATATATATATATATATATATATATATATATATATATATATAATTGTGTATTTTAGCAGCAATTCCTCTTTTATACATGTTTCGCTAAGACGACTGACAAGATATTGTGGTTTAATTTTTCTTGTATTAGTACAAGTATCTTCAAAGTTTGTCTATACGGGATTCATATAATGTATATTCAGTTTTTTTTTAACGCGCATATGTGTATATGTGTGTCCAGTAGGCGTTTTCATGCGTGTTTGGTAGTTGTTCGCATGTAGATATTTGTGGGTGGGGGTTAAGGGTGAGATAATGTAAGTTCACACTTCCAGTACCTGCTGTGGTCGCAGGTAGATATATCGTAGATGCTTTGAGTATAGATTTATAAAAGTTGGTGATATAATAATAAAGTCTGTTCGACATGCTTTTATAGATGGTAAAATATTTATTGGAATTCCCTCAAAGAATGATGCTTTTTCTAATTAGGGTAGCATTTATAAAATCGAATGTATGGCTTTTCTGCATATTACGAACGAGTTTAAAGGTTTGTCCTAACGCAGGTGTCTCTTATGTTCATAGATGTGGGCTTTTACCTTTTTCGAGGTCTTATCAGTTTATAGTTGAGCTGGCTAGATGTAACTGTAAGTTCTATGCTAACAGTTTCTTTTCTCGGACTTCTCGCTTGTGGAACTCTCTTTCGGCTAATTACTTTTCTGCCAACTTTAATCTGCAAAAATTTAGATGTAATGTCAATCGCTATCTACTGTCCCCCTGATAGAAGGCAAAAAGACAATATGAATAAAGACGAAAGGAGAAATAATCATAGATGGCACGTCCTCTGAAGGACACTCAAAGCAAATGTGATGTGTCTCTTGTCGGCTAAGATAATTATCCCTTTGTCTTTATCAATATATATATATATATATATATATATATATATATATATATATGCATGCGTGTGTGTGCGCATATATGTGTGTATGTGTTTATGTGCATATATCTGTGTGCGTAAGAGCCTGTTTTCTGAGAAGCTATCTTAAGTAAAGATGAAGATCACCTAACGAAATTTTATGTGCTGAGCACCAGATGTTGCCATTCTTTTTCGATTTGTAACGTATCGAGATCATTAACATGGCAACTTCCACTCATAACACTGGAAATGAAAGCTCAGGATTTGCTCCTCGCATAGCCGCTGACCCCAGCGACATTGACTTAGATAAAATATATATCAGATAATATATAAAAGTGAGTTGATCAGCGAGTTGATTTTTCAGCAGAACATTTTCTTAAATATGATTTGTACTTAATTACTTGGTGCGCCACACACACACACACACACACACACACACACACACACACACACACACACAAACACACGTATCTATTTATTACTTCAAACATTATTAATGTGCATACTCGCATTTGAAATAGAGGATTTATTTTGATTTTTTTAAACAGTGTGTATTATGTCTATTTCAAATATGAAGTATCCATATTAATAAAGTTTGAAGTTATAAAAATATCGGATTAAAAATCAATCCACTAATTCTTTACCCCCATATATATATATATATATATATATAGAGAGAGAGAGAGAGAGAGAGAGACAGAGAGAGAGATAGATAGATAGATAGATAGATAGATACTGCCTGCATATATCCAAGTTCCTAGTCAAACACGTTGACCCAGATTATATAATCTAGCCAGACCAGGCGCCCACATCGACTAGTAATGATATTAATGCCCCCCTGTCTCTAGCTACCTTTATTGTACAACTATTGTTAATTTTAGACGATAACGCATTTAACATTTTTGTCTTGCCATTTTTTTCAATTATCTTACCATTTTCAGTTTATAGCTACTATTTAGTTTTATTTTTTGCTTTATTTGTTTTCTTCTTCTTTCACCTTTAGTCTTATGATCACAAAAATGTTTACTTATTTATATACTTGCATTCATTCAGTATTTATTTATTTTGATTTATTTTTTTATTATCTTATTATTCATTTGATTGACTTATTTATTTATTTATCTAAATATTTGCATATTTTTAAGTTCCTATGTGTCTTTCATTTTATTTCATTTTATTTTACCTTAACTTAACTTATTTGGTTACGGCATATTTTATTATTTTATTATTACTGTTATCACTACTTTTGGTTTTTGAGGAATATTAATATTGATAATAATTTTATTATTAACTAATCTATTGATTTCCGGATAAAATTAGAGTCACCCGCCTTTGATTTTATAACATTATTTCTAATTGTTATACCAGCGTCTCCAGAAAAACTAAAAAAAAAAAAAAAACGGTGTCAACTCAACATATAAACAGAAATAAAAATAAATATAAAAATTTCAGCACTTGAAAATTGCTTCGGCTTGAAACTCCGAGTTGTACAATTAACGTAAGATTTATATATATATATATATATATATATATATATATATATATATATATATATATCAAATATATAACATAGAAAGTTAACACTTAGAGGCGACAGTCTCTTTCAAGCTATATGCAATCGTCAGGCCATATATAAATGCGCTATATATATATATATATATATATATATATATATATACATGAAAAATTATAGTGTTATGGTGTGCTATATTTATGGGATAAAGTGCTTAATATCAGAGATAGAACGTATGTATATATATATATAAAAGTGAACATTGAAGTTTCATGCTAGACCCAACATATTTATATTTCTGTTAGCTAAAGGATCGATGAATATGAATATGAAAAAATTAACTGAACGCTTAAATCTTGGTCCAGTTTGTAATACTATCAAGGTGACTTTTGGTATTAGGAGTACTGATCAAAAAAGGCAGACGTTAAATTACGTGATGCATTCGGTTTTTGCATAATTCTCAAATTCTTCAAACTTTTAGGAAATGCTTTTATACATCTCAAACATTTTCTTCAAATATTTGCACAAGAATTGCTTTTTTTATGATATTTTATCGTTTTTCTGAAGAATCCTCATATCAATTGGTTGTTGCATTTACCATTGGTCTATCTTTGCAACAATTCGCCTATTGGTCCAGATTCTGTGACCTTAGGTCAATAATTGTCCTTTGTTTGATTTTTTTTTAAATTTTGGAAGTAATTTTTGATGAACCTGACTTTTTTTTTTTACATAGAGGACATTTAAAACTGAATTTCGCTGATAAATGCATGAATATTTAGAAGAAATAAAAAAAGGCAGGACAATAGGTGTGTAATTTAAATACCGCAGGGCTAATAAGAAGTGAATAGCAGGGTGAAATGTTGAAATTCGACCAAAGAAACAACAAAACTATAATCATAACAATTCCTGACGACGAAGAATAGCTTTAATGAAGTTAAGTTCATATGACTTGGTTTAAAATCAAATTATAATGATGTTAATATTGATCATGATAATAATCGGACTATACATTGAAGTCCAGATATAATGATTGTGAGCTTCAACACAATGGATTAATAATGATTATAACAATAATAATAATAACGAATAAAAATAGAAAAGATAAATTACAAGAACGTGGCATTTAAGTACAATCGCCATGCCAATAATCATAGGAGCACTGCAAATGATTACCGTAGTTTCTCGAAAATAATACGCATTTTTTACTGCAAATTACAGGTGATAGTAGGCGTTCGTAAAGGGTGCGTATTATAAATAGGTTTAAACAAAAATATTTTTTCATTATTGATTTATAATAATAAATATGTAGTTGTTGTTTTAAAATAAGAAAGATATTATCCCAATTTTCATTTTAAATCCAACAATAATAATTGTAATATTTTTTGTCAATAAATTTATTTTTATCAGTAACCGTGTTTTTTATTTGGCAGAAAAATAAAAAAAATCTATGAAAAGACCAATTTCGAAGAGAAAAATAATATCAAGTTAACAATTTATTGAAATTTTAATCATCATCATCATCATCATCATCATCATCATCATCATCATCATCATCATCGCTTTCTATTATAGAATTAATATCTAAATTGTCATTAAACAAATTATCAATCACAATATTATCTTCGTTCCGTTGAAAATTATCTTCGGCCTCTTCATTCCCTTGATAAAGGATGTCGTCTTCAGAGCCAGCCATGGCTGTCGTGAGACAACATTTCTTGAAACCTCTTCTTTATAACATCCTTACTGACAGAATCCCAAGATTCCTGAATCCATTTTACAATAAGTTCCAACTCTGTTTTTTTTTCTGTTGCCACCAGAAATAAAACATTATTTTAGCCGCTTAGTTTTCATTTTATTCTTAATGTCAAGGTCGACAAAATGTCTTCGTAATTATTTTTTTTTGACAAAATATATAGATGCGTATTATATATAGGGATAGATATATTTCTTAATTTTCGGATCATTTGTTGGGGTGCGTATTAATTATAGCCACTAGGAAAAGCCCAGAAGACCACTCATTGTCCGATCTCCGAAACATTCTACACTTATGCCTCGTTAAACTACTCAGAATATCTCTTATGATGTAATGAGAGTTATTAAGTAAAACACTTTAGAAAGGATTGTATCAAACAGTAAAGAGAGAAAAAACGAAGTAAATAATAATAATAATAATAATAATAATAATAATCACCATAACTGAGTTCACCCTCGATGTATCCGGCCGCTTTATCATGAGATCAAGTAACTGATCTTTCAAATATCCCGCACTCTTAATCATTTTGTAAAACTGTCATCCATATATTTGCAAGTTCTGCTCTTGAATCTTTTTAGCAAAGCCCTTCAGAAATGTGCTACAAGTTCTCTGATAATGATGGGTGCAACTGTGCCCGTTTATTTCCTTGTTTTGCAATTTAAAAAAAAATCTCTTATAATTTGATTTTATAGTCTTCCCAACAACCACGTCCATTCACATCAAGGTTTACGATAACGTGATCTAATCATCAAGGGGTACAATAAATAAGAAGTTGTGAAGAGACATGACCGCCGAGATTCAGAAGATACACGACACATAGAAGAAAAGGTATAGTGATACAATCTTGAGAGATTTAGATGTCATATCAGGATTCATTATTGGCAGCCACAATCATAAGAGCATATAATATTCAGATGACGCCGTTAATAAAAGACACAGAAAGGAAACTACAAGAATTCTTAGAGAAGAAAAACGAGAAGAAAGGACTATACATCTATTGCAAAAAGTCAGAATGAATGATTGTCAGCAAAAGGGACAAGCCAAGAGACGAACTACAAACTACGGTCCTTGCCTTCCTGTTAAATTTGAACTTAAAAAATTTGAATGCAATGTCAATCGTTATCTTCGGTCTTCTTAATTCCTTTTCTTTTATTGTTTTCGCTACTTAATAATTTTTTTCATGTTTTCTCACACTCAGCAACCCATTGCATCATAGTGGCTTTATTGCCTTGCATGGGGTGAAATGATTAAAAGAAAATAACAAATATTTCTCATAATATGTTTACATTATTTTAAGGTAGAGTTTCACGCGATAAGAATTATTAAACACCGTTGTGCTACTAAGAAAAGGCGGTTTTTAGTCACATTTTCTAACGCATTTTTATTCGGTCCAACTAGAGGTAAGCACCGCCGGATACTTCTCTGATATCATCTGACAAGAGACACACTTGTTAAGTAATAGTTTAGCCGACTATTTTTATCCAATTATTTTTTGGGGAAGTGTATCTCGTCTCCGCCTTCAGGATGTTGATATTCGGGGCCAGATACAAGTTAGAATGGCAAAGTAGATTTTGATTGGCTGGGCTAGATTGGGAAAGATAGATATGAGAATGGTTTCAGCGGGTTGCTTCTTAACTGTCAAGCGACGTAGACGTGTTCTCTTTCGTGTCCGAAACGGCTCCCCGGTGAGGGGAGGGGGCGAACCCACCGATAGTTAGATAATGTACACATCGACATGAGTAATAAAAATAGTTAAGTTAAAATTCTCAGTGTTTTAAGGCTTTCATTGCTGAACCAAACAATTAGTGATCGTCGGTCGAGAGAAGACGAGATGAGATCAACCCCACCAAGGGGTCATACAACACACTGAGAGAAACATTTCGGGTGATTTTGACTTTGTCAGGTGTAATCACTGTTCCAATCCAGATGTCAAACAGAATTTATATTCAAAGTTTTATTCTGAAAATTTAATTTCTTATTTTTGATGATTTTGTTAAAAAATCTTTCGGCTCATCCATTCTATAAGCTTCTTACGTGTAGATTAACATCAGGAAGATGTTGTTGAAATTTCTGGGGTACGTAATGAAGAAAGGGGGCTCGGAAAATCTGATACTCACAGGAAAGAGGGACAGAAGAATGCGTGTAGATTGCATGAGTGACAGTTAAAAAGAAATAAAAAAAATAGACCTTTTTCTTTCCTTACATGTCATACATTAGAAAAACCCTGTAAAATTGATCGGTTTGGTTTCTTTTACGCATATCAACGTCAATGGATTATTTAATGCCGAAAATTTTTTAATGCTGGTAATGTTTTGTTTTGTCAAAAATCTATTTCTGGTAATATTTTTCATTCAAAAATATATTGCTGGTAATAGTTGTTTTCAAAAAAGTATTGCTGGTAATATTTTTTCCTAAAAAATGTATAGCTGGTATTATATTTCCTTCAAAAACATTGTTGGTAATATTTTTTTTCCTTGAA